GGGCTTAGCTTTATGAAGGAGGGAATGAAAAAGTTGAGGCTTGAACAACCCCACAAATGATGGTTGATCTGTTGCAGGGGTAGAGAGCTAATCGTGGTTTCCCTCTCAGGGGGGGTCTTTTCCTCCTAGAGGCTTCCTTTATGGCCTTCTCAATAGCCCTTTCAATGGGCCTATGCCTCTTAATGGCCTCCTTCTCCGAAGCTTTTGAGGCCTTCTTAGTTGTTTTGGAGGCTGCAGGGTGAGAAGCCATGCCCCTTTTAGATGGCCCCGGTTGGGAAGGCCCAGTTGTTTCCAGGCCTGGGAGGCCTCGTTTGGAAAGCCGGGATGATGAAGAGGCAGCCATCTTGAAGCTACTGAGGCTCGAATAGGCCTCTAAGGGAGCATGAGGCAGAGCCAAAATGGCGGGCGGCTTACTGACTCAAGGGAGTACAGGCCCTGAAACAAAGCCCCCCACAGCCAGAAAGAAGTAAAGCACCCAATGCTGCAAAGCAGCCTGGCTCCTGCGCTGATCCCAACCGGCCTGGTGAGAAAACCGATCGGCCTTACCGAGCTCCGCTGCTGCAATCTCCCCCGAGAAGTCCCAAGCGGCCTCTGCCGCGCGGCCCCAAACTGTGATGCCGATATAGTTCTCTGATCTGCAATCCTTGGAGAGGGCGGTGGGGGGTGGGGTGGGGGTGGGGTTGGAACCCTCCGAACCCCCAATCAAACCAGCCAGGCATATGGGCAAAGCCCAGGAATGCTGCTCTGGTGATCTGTCGGCTGACAGATCTGCTGTAAAAACGGCCTTCAGCGGGCTCCAGCTGAGGCGCCATTCATGCTGGGAGGCAGGACCTGCCACCAGCCGAGCCGGGAGGCACCTGCAAATACTATTGAAGTCGTCTTCAGTGGGATCGGGCGTTAGCCCTTCACGCTGGCAAGCTGAGGCTGAATTCCCAGGGAGCTGGGATCCTCAGCAGTGTTGTGCCTACGAACGGCCTTCAGCGGAGTCAGGGACAAACACCTTTCACACTGGTATAGCTCAACCTGAAATAGGGAGCAGATCTGAGGTTCCAGTAATCAGGAAAGAGCAGCTCAGCAAAATATGTATGTCCAGGTCAGACTGAGTCTGAAAGCTGGGAAGCAAAAGGAAGAGGAAGAGCTTAACAGCTTGCAGACTCAGTCCTTGGATATCAGACAGAGTTAACCCATTCCTGACCGCTGGTCCCACGCCCGAGGAAAACCTAGCAGTTTTGGCTGAGGTCCAAAAAGTTAATTTCTAATACCATTCATAACAGATTGCAACAATGCCACCATGGTATCATCAGACTGACAATGTCATCGTGTAGATGTTGGGCTACAAGTGCAGATGTTGGGTTATATAATTGTGATATTGGTCTGATGATGTCATCTCATCCATGTCATCATTCCCTCCCCCCACCCCCACCGCCTTTCCCTTCCCCTGAAATACCCATGCTAATCCTGGTTATATCTGGTTAGCATTCACAAAGCAAACATCATGAAATCCCAGAGTTGTAGGCTAGACTAGGAAGTCAGAAAAATATACCCAAAGAAGAGAGTAAAAAAACTACTTTTGCTTCTTTTTCCAAGAAAGCTGCTTCTCCATGTTGTTAAGCCCAGCTCCTTCTGCAGAAGTATTTACCTTTGCCTACTAAGTAAATATGATTTATCCTCAAGAAAGTGGGAGAAGAGAGGACCATCCTAGATATAAGGAGAAATTTCCAGACAATCAACCAATGGAACAGCTTGCCTTCAGAAGCTGTGGGTGCACCATCATTGGAGATTTTAAAGAAGAGATTGGACAACCACTTCTCTGAAATGGTATCGGGTTTCTTGCTTGAGCAGTGGGGCTCAAGTAAAAGTAGAAGAAGAAGATCTCCAAGATCCTGTTAATTTTCTTTTTTACTGTTTTATTTTCTTTCCTAGGGGTCCCTGAGATTTCTCTGGGTCTGATTAAATACCTTCACCATTTGAAAATAAAAGCCCCACTTAATTTACAAGATTATAACAAGAAATTGTGAATTAAGTTGGTTTCACAACTTAAGATCTACATTCTGCTTTCTGTAGCATTCTCATGTAAGGAAGAATGGGAGAATGAGGATTCCAGGTGCACATACTGTTTCTCCATCTCTCTAATCATACCTAGACAAAATGGTGTACAAATATCAGGCGGGGGAGCGATGGCACCAAACAGAGAGGTGAAATTGAAATCTAATTTTCTTAATACCTATATTTTGTGTTGAGCCAAATGTTTCACCTTCCCCCAACTACAGCACTGCTCTGACCAGTTCAGCTTCTAACCCCTCCTTCACCCCAAACCTTGAACAGCTATCCCTCCCCCACCTCCACATGCTGCCCAGTCACTTCCCAGGGGAGTGTGAACTCCAGTCCCCGGCAGTCTGGCCAGACAGGAGCCCATAAATTGGATGGATTTATGGGAGGAATGAAGGACAGCGGTGGAGGGTTCATGGCCCTGGCTGGAGAAGCAGCTTGCTGGAGCTTTCGGTTAAATGAGTTGGAAGCTCCCCAACCCCTTCTCCACTGCCCTTTTGTAAAGTGCCCTCTGCTTTGCCTTGATGGAGGGGGCAGAAATATTGGGAGAAGATCATCTGCTTTCAAAGGAGGCCAAAGACAAGCTACAATAAGTTCCAGCAGCTAGTCTCCCAAGACAAGCTATGCGTCTCTCTGTGTGTATGCATATAGCCATACCTTCAATTCATGTCTTTCAGCCCATGAAAATTCTGCTGATTTGCGTTCAGTCCACCTAGGGATAAAGTAGATAAATTGTCTTTGTTTAATGTGGGATTCCTTCCTCCCAGTCAGTGGTTGCGGCAGGCATTCATAATGGGTTGTGGTATCTCTGTTGTGCCTACCCCAATTAATTAGATGAATTTTCATAATGCTTAAAAGCAGTACTCCTGATAACTCGAGATTGTAGGTGGTTCAGATGGCCAGATACAGAAGAAGCCTTGGTAGTACAGTGGTCTAAAGCACCCTGTTATTAAGACCAGCTGCCTGCAATTACTGCAGGTTCGAATCTCGCCAAGGCTCAAGGATGACTCAGCCTTCCATCCTTTCTAAGGTAGGTAAATTGAGGACCCAGTTGTGGGGGCAATAAGCTGACTTTGTATAAATATACAAAAGGATGAAGGCTATTGCTTAGCATATTGTAAGCCGCTCTGAGTCTCCGGAGAAGGGCGGCATATAAATCAAAATTAAAAAAAAAAAAGAAGAAGAAGGGGTTCCCACATCTTTAATAGTTGGAGTAAAAAGATAATTTCAATAGTAGAAATCAAAGGTGGTATTCAGCTGGTTCAGGAAAATCAGTAGCAGCGACTGCTGGTGGGCCCACGCCCACCCACCCTCCCCGGTGTAAAGATGTTCTATTTAGCCACGTTTTTGAGGCGGGGTGCATGCGCAAGAGCAAAGTGCAGGCATGGAAGTCTGGGCGCATGTGCACGGCGAACTGGTGGTAAGAATTTCTGAAACCCACCGCTGGTAGAAATGCATCACAAGCCCTATCTGCTGAGAATACTATTTGTCTGGAGTAGTGAAAGGTATAGGAACACTGCTTTCTTTTGTAGTTTATAATTCCTCAACATTTTAATGGATGATTATGAACATGTCAGATGCAATGACGGTACTTTTTCTAACATCACATAAAACCCTTATCTACTCAGACTTTGAACTCTTACCTCCTATATGAACAAAAAACTAAACAAAACTACAGCCTATAGTAGAACTGATTATAAAGTATTAGTCCACAAATTTTTCATACGGTAGCTATATCGCCTATTGCAAAATTATAATTTTCTTTCCTTTTTTGGGATCATTAAAAGATTTGGAGGGTGGCAAGTATGGTTTTATTGTTATTTTTTTCCACTTTCTGACTTGTTTGATCTCTTTAATTGGCAGTTGTGCAATTGCAGATCTGAGACTTTGGGGGGGGGAAATGAACTAGAGGGAGATTTTTCAATGCAAAATTAATAGTGAAGAAAGTTAGCACCCACCCCCGTCCTAGAAGAATGAAATATTTTAGGAAATATTAAAAAGGCAAAATATTATATTTCCCTGGATGAGAAAAGGAGAAACATGCTCTTGGAAAGCAGCCTCCACCTTTGTTAATAGCCCCAGAAAGACTGGGCCATCTTATTTACAAGAAAAAAGGCCTTCAGCTCCAGGGTGATAGGATTAGCCCTCACTCAAGATCCAAACCAGGACAAAGCCATTAAGCCATAATAGGAATTGCCCAACACCCTTTCAGAACACAAGCCTCTTCATTACATCATTATCCAGCAAGATTCAACCAACCCTAGGACACAGACAGCCTACAAGGTTAGCTGGACCCAGTAGCGGGTTCCTCTTACATTCGCTCCCAGTTCGGAACTGGGACCGTGCGTGCACATGCGCTCACTTCGCTCGCCCACGGACTTTCTGCACATGTGCAGAGCGTCCATGATGACGTCCGGGCAGGTGGGCAAAGTCTCCCACTGCCTCCACTACCGGTTCGCCCAAACCGGGGCGAACCGGTAGAAACCCACCACTGGCTGGACCCCACCATAGCCCCCTGGGAGTCTGACAATCAATAGGATACATTTCTTGCACAGGAACAGGAAGCTCTAGGGCAAGGCCCAAGAGAGGGTATAAATCTCTCTCTCTCTCTCCCCACTCCATGTGGTCAGCTACCCAGAATCACATGTGGTTTGGTGGTTCTGCTTCACCATTAAACCATCCTTCCCAGCAGTCTCCATGTTTCCAGTGTCTTTCTCCCCACGTGGAACTGAACCTAGATGGACATTTCTTCCAACAATTGAAAATTAAGTTGTTTCCAGGAGACAATGCCATCAGATCTCAAAGTTCCTTCTTGTGAATTTATTTTATCTTAGGGTGCTTCCTAATAGATGAACACTCTTAGTGCTACAGATTACACTGATACAAAAAAGAAGTGCAAGGATTCCAAATGGATTATGACCTTTTCAAATTCTAGAGTTCTATCCAGTTCTGTGAATAAAATTGTACAGCTGCACAATGAAAGTCTTATTTAGAAACAGCTTTACAATAAAAGCTGTAGCTTCTAGAACAGTGATGAGCAACTTATAAGCAATACATGTCAGCTGCATTGCTGTTTATTTATTTATTTTTTTTGCAGCCCCCAGGTTTAGGTGAAACTGTAGCACTGAAATGGGGCAGCAAACTGATGCAAAATGAACACTTTCCTGAGGATTTTCAACAGAAAACAAAGCGAAAGACTTAGCTTACTTTAAAAAGGAGGAACGTCGCTGAAACCATCAGGTGCTCAGAGTGGATAATTTCAAGCAGTATCAAACTTTGATTTATTATTAAATATTATGTAATAATCTTAAATAGGTAGTAATGCCATGACCTATCAATACCTGCAAGTTCACAAAGATGAAGGCAGTGTTGTTCCTTGAGCACTCTATGCAAAGCGCAATTTGGATTTTGAAGAAACAGAATTTGAGGACGGATACTTTTGAGCAATGTTGTTCAAGAAGATGTTTGACAATATCGTCAAATAAATGATAGATGATAGATAGATAGATAGATAGATAGATAGATAGATAGATAGATAGATGAAGGATGAATGGATGGATGGATGGATGGATGGATGGACTGGACAGACAGACAGACAGACAGGATTATAGACAAAATCTATCTAGAATACTTTTGAGAACTGGCGTTCGAGAAGACGCTTGACAATATCATGGATTGCCACAGAAATAAATAAACAAACAAATAAATAAAATAGGATTATAGACCAAATCTATCTAGAATCTAACTAGAATCAAGGCATACATGATTATCTTAAACAGTACAGGTAGCCCTTGAGTTATGACAATTGAGTCCCAAATTTGTTAAGTGAGTTTTGTCCCATTTTATGATTTTTCCTGCCACCGTTGTTGAGTGAATCATTCCATTTGTTAAATTTGGAACAGGGTTGTTAAGTGAATCTGGCTTCCCCATTGACTTTGCTTTTCAGAAGGTCGCAAAAGCAGATCACATGACCCCAGGACACTGCAACCGTCATAAATAAACAAGTCAGTTGCCAAGCATCTGGATTTTGATCACGTGACCATGGGGGTGCTGCAATGATCATAAGTGTGAAAAATGGTCATAAGTAACTTTTTTCAGTGACATTGTAACTTCAAACCATCACTAAATGAACTGTTGTATGTTGAGGACTACCTATATATGAAGACCCAGCTGCCTTGAGAAGCCTGGAGAATACTGGAGAAAGGTAGAAGAAAAGAGAAGAGGACAACCAATAAGATAGTGGGTGAACTTGATTACAGAGGCCATAAGGTGTACCAATAGATGCAATAGGCAGACCAGAATGGAAAGGTTGGGGAAAAGATCATCCCGGACAAGGTCTGTTTAGGTGTTCCCCAGGTATGATTGCCTTTAAATCAGGGGTCTCCAAACTTGGCAACTTTAAAACTTGGAGACTTCTATCTGGGGACTGCTATCTGGGGAATTCTGGGAGTTGAAGTCCACAACTCTTAAAGTTGCCAATTTTGGAGATCCCTGCTTTAAATTACTGCTTCAGTATCGTCATAGCACATCCTGTCAGTTCAGTAATTTGTAAATAAACCTCCCCCCCACCCCAAAAATAAAGCACAACAAAACAGAAGACTGGAAAAATATGCTTCTTATTTAAACCTTAAAAAGCTGCCAAACTTTAAGTCTGGCTTCGGTCTTGCTATCTCATTAGAGGAGGGGTAGGATCTCTAATGAGATAGCAGCTGATAGGAAAAGCAACACTAATTGCTTGAATGCCATTTCCAGACTAGCTAAAGGAAAATATGTTGTTCTTTCTTTCCTTCTTTTTACTTCCCAGGATACTCGGAGGATGCAGATGTCATTACCAGAGGGCTATAAAAAAAATCACCTACAGTATCTCTATTACTATTTGCTCCCTGGCTTTGTGATAAGAAGAGTGGGTTTTCAACAACGCTGCCACAGGAAAATGATTCAGGAAGGAGGGAGAAACCAGTGAATGTGATGTCGTATTTTTACAATATAGTCTGGGATGTTCCTTTACTACCATTTTTATGTGGTGGCAAGGCCCCGGAGCTTGTACTCCATATTGTGGAAACTAATGATCCACTACTCAACCGCCTGGCAATGATGTTCACGATCTTGCGGTAGGCAAACTGACTGGCTGTTGCGGTCGGCTGCCTACCCCAGTTTAGAAAAAGGGACAATCTACATGTTTTGCTTATGGAAGATCCGAATGGGTGATGATTCTTCTAAAAGAAAAGGCACAAAGGGAATATTTGTACATGAGCATCCAGGTGTTAATACAGGCAGTCCTTAACTTACAACAGTTCATTCAGTAATCATTCAAAGTTACAACGGCACTGAAAAAAAGTGACTTAGGATCTTTTTTCACAGTTACAAGCTTTGTAGCGTTCCCCCCCCCCATGATCATGTGATCAAAATTCAGAGTCTTGGCAACTGGTTCATATTTATGATCATTGCTGTGTGCCAAGGTCATATCATCATCTTTTGCAACCTTTGTACAAGCAAAATCAAGCAAAAGAGCCTTGATAGTACAGTGGTCTACGCACCCTGTTATTAACACAGCTGCCTGCAATTTACTGCTGGTTCGAATCTCGAATCTCTCCAAGGCTCAAGGTTGACTCAGCCTTCTATCCTTTCTAAGGTAGGTGAAATGAGGACCCAGTTTGTGGGGGCAATAAGCTGACTTTGTATAAATATACAAAAGTATGAAGGCTATTGCTTAACACATTGTAAGCCGCCCTGAGTCTCCGGAGAAGGGCGGCATATAAATCAAATTAAAAAAAAAAAAAAATCAATGGGGAAGCCAGATTCACATAACAACCGAGTTACTAACTTATCAACTGCAGTGATTAACAACTGTGGCACGAAAGGTCATAAAATGGGGGCAAAACTGACTTAACAAATGTCTCACTTAACAGCAGTAATTGTGGGTTCAATTGTGGTCTTAAGTTGAGGACTACCTGTATAATCACACATCAATTGTCTGTTCCTTCAGCTAAGTGCCAAAGGAATCTGTTTGACTCTAGTTTCAGCTCTGGAAAAGTGAACCATAATAATTAACAGAAAGAAAGTACTCTGTGAAAGAACAGAATGAACTTCCCTTAAGGAGCAATGGTAAGCTGCCTGTTAATGTTAGAAAGTTTAGCTTCTAGCTCAGAGGATATAGTTTTAAAGCAAGCTTGCACCTCTTTTTAAAAACAAACACAAGACAAACTTATTCTTGGATAAAACATTTACAAAGAACCAGCATATTTCATATCTCTCCACCCTTTGGAGAGGTGAAATTGATTGCATTTTTGAAAGCTAAGTCAATCCATTGGATTTGTTCTGTATTTGACACAATTCCCCCCCCCCATTTTCACCATAATCGCAATAGATTAACAATTGCATTTACGCATCTTGTAATGCTTCATTTTTGTATCCAAAACCATGCATATATTCCCTGTTATTCCAGAAGATATACAGAGTATTTTTGTGTGTGTTTGTGTGTTGTTTATGTGTGCATGTGTGTTTGTGTGTATGGGCCCATCTCAAATGGGCCACAAATACTGTATATTCCCATGTAAGAAGGTAAGGTTACAATGGAAACCATCTGCCAACATACGTATGTATGTTGTGTTTAAAAAAAAATAATACCACAAAGGTTGGATATGTGTTTTGGATGGGATTGTGACAGAGCTGAGGCAATGGATGGAGGGAAAACCATAGAGGCTGAAATATAATTTTCCTACACAATCATTAATCAGTTCAAACAATTAGTGGAGACTTGTTTAAAACTATCTGCAAAAGAAACAGTCACTTTTCTGATGAGGGACGGCGCCTGCTCTTTTTACCATTACTGATTAAATATCAAAGTTCAGAAAATTTGCAGAAGAGACATGAGTGTATGTATGTATCTATGTATCAGTGGTGGGTTGCTCCCGGTTCCACGCCCCCCAAAATAATAAGACCTCCTCAAAAATAAGGCCAAGCACTTATTTCGGGGTTCAAAAAATATAAGACAGGGTCTATTTTCGGGGTCACACAGTAGACCAAGGCCAATTTTTATTATTGAGAACTATTCATGGTGACTTGGCTGTACGGTACTTTGTCAACCACTCACAGCAGTTGTGAGAATGAAAAATGGGTCAGAGTGCTAAATAATTAAATAAACTTGGGTATAATCCTCCCCCTTGTAACTTTCCCAACCTAAATAATCCTTGCTTCAATGCTTTCTGGTTCATGAGGCAGGGAGGATATAAGCATGATAGAGCTGTCTGTACTGCATTACTATCTACCTTGGTGAAGAGTGATTTTATGATGTGAAAATGGTGCAGAGGAAAACTTCCCAGCCACATAAACAGCGTAGTTCCCCCAGAGGCATCAAGTAAAAAATAAATCCTGGGAATCTGATCACTGGGTATAATGCATAATTTCCCCCACCACCACCCGAACCAAAAAAATTCCTGGTATAGCGAGGACTGAATTATATCCATGCCCTAAAAAGAGAGTGGAGAGATTAACATTTTCAGGATCTACTTTAACATTGTCTTAAACAAGAACTTTGGCACTCCATTGACTGGCTAAAAAACTAACTTTCAAGTACAGAACTGAGGGACCCATTTTCTAAGTCTTTCTTCTTTTTAAATCTAACTTAAACAAACAAGTCCTAAAACTGCACGATCACCCTTTCACCTTTCTAAAAGCAAGCAAGACAGCAAGCAAAAAAATAAATAAAAAGTGCTTTCTTTTCTAGCCCATATTTTCACACACGGGGAAGTGTCAGCCTTACCAGGTGGACCAGGTACGAAACATGATCAGATAAACTAATTCTACCTTATTGCAAAGCCATAGTAACAGAATCTTGCAAGTCTAAAAGTACAAAAGTACAATTCTCCCACTGTCTCCTTTACAGCCTGAGAAATTAGGAAGAGTCCAGTGGTGAAATCCAATTTTTTTTACTACTGTTTCTGTGGGCGTGGCTTGGTGGGTGGGGCGTGGCAGGGGAAGGATACTGCAAAATCCCCATTCCCTCCCCGCTCTGGGGCCAGCCAGAGGTAGTATTTGCCGGTTCTCTGAACTACTCAAAATTTCCGCTACCGGTTCTCTGAACTGTTCAAAATTTCTGCTACAGCTTCTCCAGAAACTGTCAGAACCTGCTGGATTTCACCCCTGGAAGGTCCCTTCTGAACTTTTTGTCCCATCCAGCTATGTGTTCCGCCTTTTGTGACCATTCCCTAGACAGTATCATTTTGCCTATCTCCCAAAGTCTTTCCCACATACATCAAAATTGTCATATTTATCATTCCTTCTCTTGGATGATTCCTCTATCACTTCCCACTACCTTTTAATTTGCATTTTATTATTTTTCCACTGCCTTTCAGCTAGTGTGATGATCTGTAAATTGACGTTGAGAACTGACAATCCATTGTGAAAATTAAAAATGAAGAGACATTGCCCAACTGGAAATAACATTTTTGTATTTTTTTTAAACTGACATTTAATTTTTGAACTTGTACAATGAGAAAGAACATTTGTGGGTTTTGAGAAATAGGGAATAATTTTGAGTTACACAACTCCCTGCATGAATGTGGAAGGATGATTGGTGAATATGTTAAGAGCTAAGTATGATAGCAGAAAGCATGGCAATAGATAAAATAGCTAGTGAATAGATGATTAAGTGTAGATAAAATACATGTATTTTTGTACACAACTTATGCTCTGTTGCTGATTAAGAATCCAAATGATTTGCAGCAAATGTTAAACAGCTTGTATGATGCAATGAAAAGTCTAGGTCTGAAAATTAACCTATTAAAGCAGATTAATTGTACCTGATAGGGCAAATGGAATGAATGTCAAGTAGGTAGATTTATATATAGACGAGGAAATGGAGTGAAAAATGTTAAGACGTGTAATCTGGCAGAATGTGTAGTGAGTAATATGTAGTCTGTGGCTATCAATAAATGTTGAAAAAAAGTGAAAATAGTTGTATCTGAGACTGTATTTTTGCTCACATTGTTACATGCAACGGAGAGTAGTACACTATGTCAAGAGACTCATAAAGTAAACGTTAAGCTGAATGTAGTCAGAATGAAAAACTTAAGGAATGGATATTAAAACACGAAACAATGGGATCAAGAACCAATTGGAGCGGAATGAAGTTAGACTAAGTAAAAACGTAGGTGACCACAAGTAAAAAAAATATTAGTATAAAAAAAATACTAAGGAGACTTGAACAAATGATAGTATGAATAAGGATTTGATTAGAAAAAGAATCTGAGAAGGCAACTACAGTAAATTGGTTGAGAGGAGAGGAAGGGCTATGAAGGTTTCAAATGGAAAAAAATCTTCAAAAAGAAAAAAAAACAATTAGATTAAAAAAACAAAAAGCTATTAAACAATTTGGAGTGGGGGGGGGAGGAAACAACTGAGGGTTTGCAAGGGAATTAAAAATAAGGGATGGTATAATGAATGGGGTTAGTGTAAACATCATGTAGCTGTGTTTCCTACCCTTCTCTTTAGCTTGCTATTTCTTATTCCTTCTCTGCATGGAGTTTGTATAACACTGCTTACCCCCAATAAGATGATGGGTGGGAGGTTGGGAGGGGGGGAGGAAAGAGAGAGAATTGCTAAACTGCTAAGGCTGCAAAATCCAGGCCTACAAAGTTTCCCTCCCCTTATTTCTTTGCTGTTGCAATTCTTCCAGATTTCTGCCGTTCCTTGATGGGGCCCCAACAACCGTCCGATTTCCCTTTTTTATTCCATCCTGTATTCCGGAACATGTACCTTTTCACCAATTAGACAATTTTGTTCAGTTAAAGTAATTCAAAATGCATGTGTTTTATTTAAATACATTTATTTACATAAATACACGTTTATGTTCTCCGCAGCCTTAGAATTCAGACTGCAGCCTTTCCCTCTTTCTTCGGTCAACAGCTGTCGCCTTTGGACCCCGAGCTGTTTCCCCCCCTAGCCCTTTCTCCGTGTTGGTCGGCTGGCTTGGAGCTTGGGCTTTCCGCCACTCTCCCATCATCCCCGGCAAGCAAGAATCTTTTTTAAGGGAAGTTGACAAAGGGCCCCACGGAGCTGCCGGCTCAAGCGGCCCTCCTTGCTGCTACATCCCTGTGGCGTCCAGCCTGGGAGCCTTGCATACAAAGGCTCTTTGCTGGGGAGGGGGTGTCCGGCTGGTGTGGGGTTGCCATGACAATTTTGCTGAATCGGGGGGGAGGGTGGGGTTCATTTTCCTGCTGTAGAGACACTTTGAATATATGGGGCTCCTTAAGCATCCTTAAAGGGAACGAGAGTCAAAACAAGTGAG